GATGATACTTGATGATGATACATGATGATGATACATTACTGATTACTGATGCCTGAAGATATTTTTGTTGTCCAGTTGTCCTCTCAGCATCATTACGATTACGGTATGAGGGCAGTCAAGTCTGTCCTAACTGCAGCAGGCAACCTCAAACTAAAGTTTTCTGATCAAGATGAGGAGATTCTAATGCTGAGATCGATCATGGATGTTAACTTACCCAAGGTTTGTTCCGATTTAAGACAAGAATAAAACACTGAAAGATGTATATCAAGAAACATTATATTATTCTAACTATTTCTCTGACGTGAGTACGCTGCAGCTTCTTTGTTGAATATAAGCAAACGTAGCCTTTTCAATTCCTTCCTTATGTAACCAACAATAGCATCAATAGTAGTAAAATACAAAAACAACAGCGACAACAACAACAATAACAACAGTAAAAAACATAAACAGCAGCAAATAAAAGAAAAAACTATAGAAACTACTCCATTGACATAAATTATCAGCACTGCTTTTGTAAATATCAGAGCGCACTTTGGATTCAATCTGTTTTTATTGGACAAGAATTGTGCTTAGCAAATTAACTTGGTATTTAATTTTTAGTTTGGTGGGGTGGGGTGGTTCAGTATATTCTTACATAGATTTCTACACTTACATAATATTTTTAGATCTAGAATTTTATCTATATTGTATTATTTAGATTTTAGTTTAGCACGTGCACATTCTAACGATACTTTAATGTAAGCTCCTGTGTGTCTACGTGAATAAATAAATTACTTACTTACTTCGCAGTTTTTATCGCAAGACTTGCCATTGTTCGAGGGTATYGTATCAGACCTATTCCCAGGCGTCACTCTACCCAAACCAGACCGTGGTGTACTGGAGGAGGCTATTGTGAGTAGTGTCATAGCATTTGGTTTACAACCTGTTCCTTGGTTCATTGAAAAGGTCATACAGGTGAGGTTTTGTGGACTGTTGTAAAATAGTTTGTTCTGTTTTTACACTGTCTTGTCCATTCTTTCTGAAACAATTCCTGCTTTTTGCGCACTCGCTGACCTTCCTTACATGCTACTTGCGTTCTTGCAATGCTTGATTTATTAATTGTTTGCTTATTACCTTCTTTCCTCCTCCTTGCTTCCCTCCCCTTCCCTTCCCTTCCCTTCCTTCCTCTCTCTCTTCGTTTCTTCCATCCATCCTTCCAACCATCTTCCTTCTTCTTCCCTCCCATTCTTTCTTCGCTTTCATTCATTTATCTTTTTTCTGTTACGATGTCATTTTCTTTTACACACACTTACACACATTTTCACAAGATCTACGAGATGATGCTGGTACGACACGGCTTCATGATCGTGGGGGATCCCCTGGGGGGTAAGACATCAGCGTGGAAGGTTCTTGCTGCCGCCTTGACCAGACTGGGAAGCGATGAGTTCTCAGACGAAGTACCGGTTAGTAAAGACATATCTATTCCATTTCATCTCGTGTGCGAATGATATATACATTATTTTAAAACTCGTGCATTCTCGTTTTACCCAGGTTATTTACCGCATTATCAACCCCAAAGCAGTCACCATGGGGCAGCTATACGGCAGATTTGATCCGGTGTCCCACGAGTGGTCAGATGGTAGGTTATCTTTAATTTACATTAGTAACTCGGTCTTTGGATTGACATGGGCCACAGTAAGGTACCGCCACAATGGCCGTGTCACGTGGTGTCTGCGATACTTGCGTTTTAACGTTCGTTTGTTGTTTAATKATTTATCTCTTGAATTCACACATTGATGGACGTTGTAGCTGAAGCTCAACTCCAGACCAGAACATTCGAAGTACGCCGCAATGGCCGTGTTACGTGGTATCTGCGATACTTGCGTTTAAACGTTCTTCGTTTGTTGTTTAATGATTTATCTCTTGAATTCACACATTATTGATGGAGTTTGTAACTGAAGCTCTGCTCCATACCAGAACATTCGATCCACCATTGTAGAGCTGCATCTAACCATTGTGATAAGATTCTTATATCTTCATTCCTTATGAGTCCATACAATCATTCATTAACTCGTGGATTTTTATTTCGTCAAAAGGCGTTCTTGCCAACACATTCAGAGAGCACGCGTCTTCAACGACAGCGGATCGTAAATGGATTGTATTTGATGGTCCTGTGGATGCTGTGTGGATAGAAAACATGAATACTGTGTTGGATGATAATAGAAAGGTACGTGTCACCTTCGCTTTTAATTTCCCTCACGATATCTTTTTCTTCGAATCTTCTTACTTGCCTTCTCGTTCTCCTCCTCATGTCCCTTCTCCTTCTCCTTGTCCTTCTCCTTCTCCTTCTCCTTGTCCTTCTCCTCGTCCTTCTCCCTCTCTCTCTCTCCCTCTCTCTCTCTCCCTCTCTCTCTCTCTCTGCTTATTATAACGTTATTTTCATAATGTATATTATTACAGTTGTGTCTGATGAGTGGAGAAATCATTCAAATGAGTTCATGTCAAAACATGATCTTTGAACCCCAAGATTTAGAGCAAGCATCTCCCGCTACTGTCAGCAGGTATCACATACTTTAATTCTCAGTCATTTGTATAAACCCTAATTTCTCTTTGCTGTACCTAACCGGATATGAAGATGTACCTCGGGGCTCCATCATCCATCTTACTTTCCCGCTTCCTCGTGGTTACTGCTACCGGATGTGAAAATGCACTTCCGGTAATACGTCGGCCATCGCACACGCCTCCTCTCCCTCTTCCGAAAAAAATCCACACACTACCCTCCCCCCTCCCATTCTATATATTCGTATTGTATGTATGAATGTATGATTAACCGTACTTTCCCTATTTTGCCATCAATGACACCATTTCCTCATTTTGCTTTTCTTCATACTGCATCCCCCTCATCCCGGTTCCATATATTCTTAATGTGTGCATGATTAACAGTACTTTCCCTATTCTGCCATTGCTGACACACCTTCCCTTGTTTCCCCAGATGTGGCATGATTTACATGGAACCAGTAAAGCTAGGTATCGAACCGTTAGTCTCATCGTGGATGGAAAAAGAATATCCTCAAAACTTGACAGACGCGTCCAGAGAATCCATTCAGGTACTATAACTACGACACAGTAGAATTTCTAGATTCATTTGACTTTAGGTTCTGGAGATATTTGAGAACAAAATCTAGGGTTTTCCTCACGTCTATTTCGGGTCCGATAAGATAACAATAGACCTCTTTACCTTGGACGTAATGTTTCCCCATTTCATGCCACATGATACTCACTTGAGAATATAAGATTCTTTGTTTGAGTTGTATCCAAATTTATGTTTCTTCTCWTGAACAATCGTTAAAAATAAAAAAAGATACTCACCCACACGTGGTTTTTAATGGGAAAGCATTATTCTCAAGTTGATTTGTTTTGATCGGAACCCTTAGTAGTTCCAAAATTATTTGAACATTATATTTTTTCTTTGGTATGACAATCTAGCTATTCAAACCTAAATATACATCATAGCAATTATAATGAAGGATCGTTGATTTCCTTAGATGATGTTTGATTGGCTGTTACCAGCCTGTATCGATTTCGTCATACGTAACTGTCGAGGGTTTGTTAAGATGTCGTCAATGCACATGACAGTAGCCATGCTGACCCTGTACTCTTCTCTACTCGACGAACTAAGGTAAAATAGACGTACTAGGAATCTTTACTGAGATAGCGAACATGTGGCATTGTGGTCTAGCTTGGGTACAAACATCCATTTTTCATCATGGTGTTCTTTGTACCGAAGCCAGACCTAAAGGCATGGTGTTTGTCAAATTTATGAATACCCTTTTCAGGGGTGGATCCAGGATTTTTTCAAGGGGGGGGGGGGGGGGTTGTAGCCTTGATTGAGGTACTTCTTTGGCGGGAAAGTAGCACAGGGTTCCGAAACGGAAGTAGATCTTATGGAAATGATTATTTGCTGCAGGCGAGCATGGTTGTTTCAGGTCCCACACACGGCGTATAGACAAAAAGCGAGCGAAATGTGTTCGGCACCCCTGTTTTAATAAAATTAAAATCGTGATGCTGTTGGTGTTGTCATGAAAATAATAATAAAAATAATGATAAATCACGATGGCTCTCATAGGGGGGGTTGCAACCCCCAAAACCCACCCCTAGATCCGCCACTGCCTTTTGGTAATTATGTTGTATTGGTGCTTGCTGATGCATTGTGATGTTGCAGAACTCGATCTGAGAGCCCTGACTTTTCCTGTTAGTCCAGGGATTTTTTCAGGGTGCGATAAAATTGATGTTTGGTTGATCTGAGCTCGAATCACACGAAATATTGGGCCAGCAGACAATCTAGTCAGCATCATGCGATACCATTGCAACCTGTTATTTATATACTCGGTTGACAGTGTTCAGTCACTCTTTCATATCGTTTATACAGTATTGTACTTTATATTTTAGCCAGGGTAAATAAACTATTAGTTTTCTTTGATTAGTATAGAGGCTTTGCTCCATCACGTGATGGCAGCCATGACAGGAGGCACAACAATAGAGTCGTTCTTCCCTGGAAAACTTAATTCTTTCTTGTGCAAATCAGATCAGACCAGATTCTATTGTTCCTGCCTCCTGTCATGGCTGCCATCACGTGATGGTGGAGAGTCTCTATTGGCGTAAAGTTTTTCTATTTGTCAAGCATTACGTACATCAACCGCCTGCGGGCAAAATCTCAAATGAATTACTGAGACTTAAAAATGGTCTGGAATAAATAGGAAAGAGAGTTTTTTTGTTTTGCAGGGAGTCTCCTGACGAGAAAAAGAAGTACTCATCTGAGGATGATTCATTTGAAGATGACGAAGACGAGACAGACGCACGAAAAGACGAGAAGCCACCAAGAACAGAAGCCGAGATCATGCAGTGGTTACAGTCACTCTTCTTGTTCTCCTTGTGTTGGTCAGTTGGAGGTCATCTTGATCGTGATTCCAGGGAGAAATTCAGTGATTTCGTCAAAGTATTGGCAGCAGGAACCAACAAGCAACACCCAAGGTATGGACAAATCTTTCCCTTCCGTCACTTCCATCCCCTTCAACCGACGGGAGGGTGATACGTAACCGGAAGGGGGAAGGGGAAATAGCTATTGGGGATATCCATTTTACAATACCATAGAAGAGTCATCTTCTCCGTAGCAAGAGGAAGACACCTTGTGGTGGTGTCGGAAGAAGTAGGTGGGAGAGTGTTTTTTGTGGGGGGAAGGGAAAGTATGTCATCTTCTCCGTAGCAAGAGGAAGACACCTTGTGGTGGTGTCGGAAGAAGTAGGTGGGAGAGTGCTTCCTGTTGGGAAAGGAAAAGTATGTCATCTTCTCCGTTGTGAGATTAAGACACCTTGGTGGTGGTGTTTGGAGTAGTAGGTGGGAAAGCGCTTCCTGTGGAGAGGGAGAAGTATTCTTCATTGTACATTTTTAGGAGGAGAGTTATTGGTCGTACTTAGTCGTATGAAAGACGCCTTGGTGTTTTTTTTTGGGGGGGGGGGGGGGGGGCAGTGGCTAATATTCAGTCTTCTTGTACACACCATTACATAATGTTTATTCGAAAAGTATCTTAAAAATAATATCGTCCGTAAAAACTAACAACGATGGCGTTTAAGGCCACAGTTAAACTATGAGAATGTCAGATTGTAATATTTGAGGGGTTTTTATCATACCTTGTTTGAAGGCCTAAGGATCTCAAGCTACCCAAAACCCACCAGTTTCCCGGCAAGGGAATCATTTACGATTATTTCTTCGATAAATCAACGTTTGGCACTTGGCACCCGTGGGAGAAAAATGTTCCAGCTACTGAAATACGAGCAGACTTCAAGGTAACGTATGGTATTAAGTTAATAGAAACTCTCCCCTTCCCTCTCCTCCCTCGTCTTTCTTTTCCTGCTAACTATCGTGTGTTTGGGGGG